TCCATAATGTAGCACCAGCTTACCTCGCTGGGTTGTCTCCTTCGCTGCCTTTGAAGCGGCAAGATGTCATGGGCTTAGCAAATACAAGGAAATGAATTCTGCCAACTTGAGGCAGCTTGAAAATAGACCGTTCCCCAGCTAACTCTCTAAGTAACAACCCAGTCCTGGCATACCTTTGTTGCAGTCTTGCAGACCCACGCTAAACGGAACCCAGACTCACCTATAGAAACTGAGATAACAGATATGTGTTGTTTTGGACAGTAAAATGTATAAGAATTTGTTAATAAGGAAAATAGAAAACTTATTATCAAAACTTACGGTTTTCTGAACCCTTCGCTGTTTATACAAAAGACACGTTTTCTCCAATTTCTAAACACTTAAACAAGAGTAGAACAAACCTAATTCATTAGTTAATACCAGTTAAGTAAATGCACAATTAAGACATCTGGGGCACGTGGGTGGCTCAGTTGTTAAGCATCCGCCTTCGGCTCACGTCAAGATCCCGGGGTCCTGGGATCAAGCCCCTCACTGGGCTCCCTGCTCAGCGGGAAGCCTGCTTCTCCCTCTCCCATTCCCCCTGCTTGTGTTCTCTCTCTGTGTCAAATAAATAAAATCTTAAAACAAAATTTTTTTTAAGTACTTTGCTATATAAAACTGTCCCTATACTTTTTTAAAACCCATTTGCTAGTATACTCAATCATGCACATATCTGGTATATGCAGTTAAGTATAACGTTAAGGCAATTCTCCCTATAAACACAGAATAATCAGTATTTTAAAAGCTTGTACCCAATTAACTTTATTGGTAACCAAAAAACAAGAACGAACCAGTAAGTAACCAGTAAGTGGTTACTGGTTACCAGGCAAAGCAATCAAACTGGAGGGGGCTGGGGACAGGCTGGAGGCACTATCCTTAGTACAAGGACCGGCTTTGCAACTATCAAGTACTCAGGTAAGGCACCTTTCATATCAGACGATGCCCAGTGCAACACAAACCACTCCTTCCTCCAGCCCACCTTCTACCCTGCAGACAAGAGAACTTTCAGGAGAAAAAAATAATAAAAGAAAGCTGGAGATGAAAAAGCAGAAAAAAAGAATTTTCAAAATAGTCCCAAAGCAAACTTCCAGGACAGAGCCCACACTTCAGCATAACAAAGCATACAACACCAGGTATCTCCTACAGTGTTTAAAGATATGTGGGATTACAATTGAGAAACATGAACCACCAGAGTTGTTCTTTTGGGCAGTGACCACAAGGTTGGTAATTAGAAGTGTAATTTTTCTTAGGAAGAAGGAGGTATTTCTCTTCTGCCACACTACATAAAGGTTTTCAAATGAATAAAAGAAAATTCAGAAATAGGAAGTAGATTAATCACAGTATCCCAAATTCAAATATTTTGGCACCAGATACTGGTAAGAAGTGAATGACGGAGAATGATTCATTAACAATTAATGGAGATAATTCACTACCTTAAAAACCTGCATCTTTCTGGACGATTAAGAGAAATCTGTCTAGAAATACAGACTTCATTTAACATATTCCGTTTTAAGAGATAACCCACACTCCTTCAACATAAGGAAGATGTTTCCTAAGTAACAGAAGGCGCATGAATTAGAGTCAGACTACTGAAACACTCAAGGTGACAACAGACCCTAACAGACTCAAGCCAATTAGGAGAAGACAGAAACAACTGAGTACCACCAGTTAACTGTCTAGATAATTCATTTTACACTTTCACTTCTAGACTCATGCATGGTTATGAAGCCCACATGCTACCTCTAGAAATAATCTCCATTCACTTGTATGTCTTTATAGTCCAATTTACCTTCCCTACCCTTGCTGGATCATTAAAGACTATCCTACCACCCATAACAACTGATTTTATGAACATTAACAACTTGAGAGTGGAAAAAATGTAGACCTAAAATAAAGCCAAAAAAATCCTAAAATACCACCAAGGCTTTTAAATATTAGCCTATATGTCACTAAAGGCCTGTTTTAAAACAAAGGTGATAGACAAGAGAAGGCTTTTGTCCACTTTAGTACTTCTAGACTTAGCAGTCCAAAAGAAATAGCAAAAATAAGAAAAACTGTTCAGTTCTAGGAAATGCTAGGATATTTCTTACAATGAATTTCTGTACACTAAAATATCAGAGAACTAAGATTGTATACTTACTCAAAAATACTTACTCAAAACATAAAACCGACACAGAAAATCTGACTCAATTTGTAATTCATTATGATGAAACTACTAACAATTCAATTTGCTGGACTACTATTTTAAAAAAGAAAGAGTAGTATACTGTTTAGGTTTTCTGTAAGTTACATGACAGCCCAAAAGAGAAAAACAATTTTGCATCTTATTAGTACCATATTTTCTTATTACAAAATGACAAAGATATCAATTAAGTTTTACGAAATTACAGCAAAACTTCCCACTAATTTGAAATAATTTTTCTCAATTTTCAGAGGGAATTACTTTACATATGCCCAAACATTTATACAATTTGTAACTGAATAAACACATTAATACTATAAGACATACTAAAATTAAGTCAATGTGAAGTATAATCAAGTCTAACTTTTTACAGTAAGATTCATTATCTGAAAATAAATATAAAATAAGACTCATCATCTGGCTTCCTAAATCTCAGGATGAGGAGAAATATGCTTCTATTAAGTTTCCCTGATAAACCTACCCATTGAAATAGAAGTAAAAAAAAATAGAAGTAAAGCAAATGCCAATAGAAAGATGTTTTCACACAGTTTATTCCATATCCCTATATCAACTAGGACTTAAGGTATTGACGTACTGATTTGAGTTCCTATCATGTAATGGGAACAAGTAATTTCTCTGATCCCCTTCCACACTCTCGCAACTGGAGTTCCTCAGCTGAAACACTAAACACAGATTGACTGTTTTCTCGTATTTCAGAAGGACGTTACAAAACTAGAATCATTCTAAGAGCACGGGAGAAAAAAGCTAATTAGCTGTCATACAAGAGATGACTTAGGACATTAGGGCTCTATTCTCTGCAGAGACCTGATTAAGAAAGGCTCCACAACTTCCACAGTTATCACTGTGCTATTAGGCCCCAATCATCCTAACCCTGAAAGTACAAAAAGAACTAAGCGCACAAAACTAGGAACTTAAATAAGGAAAAAGATAAATTTGCTCTACTTCTACTTTTACAAACCAGGTCTTTGTCATTTGCTAATTTACTATGAATTAAAATCCTAAGTGTCAAATATTTGCCGCCTGCTCTGAATGGAAGGTATTTATTTTCAGAAAATAAACCCATACAGATAAACTAACTCTTTGTTAAAGGAAATTATCAGCCCTTTAAGCAAGCAGTATATTGTAGTAAGATACTAACTTCACAAGCTTTTTCTCATTCCTTTAGCAAGCTTTTATAAACATCTTTTGATCATAACCGCTAAATGCAAATTTTCACTTTAAAAAGATATTTTAAAAAACCAGCTTATCCTTTATAAATTAACTAAGCTCCCATTCTCAAGAAACTGTCTTTTGTCATTCCTCAGTTTAGTGACTACGCCTGTGTTAAGATCAAAATAATCTTCAACTGTGTTAATTATGATTCAATCACAGTAAGGACAGCACTAGTTCTTTTTCTCAAAAACAGACGTTTTTTTTTTTTTAATGGCCCAACTTTAGAAAATATCAGTATTTTTCTTTACGCAGCAAAATTATAACAATTGGAATAAAGTAGTTCATAGTTGTTCTATACTGAATGTGCAAAGCAACATTAAAAACATGAACTAAACATGACATTCCCATTTTCAATATGCTAACATAAATACTGATACTACAGAGAACATCAGAACAGATAAATTAACATTACTGAACATTCCACTTCACCAACTCAATTTCTCACATATATAAACATATAAAAAAAGGGCCACAAAAATGGAGGGAACCATTTCCTCACTGTTCCAGCTGTGCTCACTTGTGAATTTATGTAATACAATAAAGCAGTGATACGGGGATGTTTTTCTTCTATAGTCAGCCTATCTAACCAGATAAAACTTCCAATGTCTTCTCCTGTACTGGGAAGGGAGAACTGTTTTGATTCGTTTAGGGTATTAACCGTTTGAGGCAAAGTAAATCAGTCCTGGACGTTAACTGAAGAGGCCAAATTCCGTTTCCTCAGATCAAGTGCACCCTTCCTGTTTCTACATCAAAGCACATCATTTTGCTATTAAAAATTTCCATTTATCACAAGTGACTTTTCCTGAACTCGTAGTCAACACTGCTTTTCAAAAGTACCTATGCTTCTGGCAGTTTCCCTAATTAGCGTCTCTTTAAGACACTGCTTTCAATTTTTAAAATGCCCTGTCCAAATTAAGCGGGGCTCATATTAACCCTTATCTAAAGTAGCAGTTCACTGGGGTCAAAATTACATTTTCCATCACACATTCAACCAATTAAACGCTATGCAGTAGGTGGGGCTATTTACATAGACTTAAGGATTACAGCTTTACTGTAACAGTCCAAAGGAGGTAACTTCCTCCTTTTTCAAATACTCTTATGTTCTTTGAGACCCTCTGACCTCCTGGCCTTTAAAAATGCTCACCGCCTGGGTCCCCAGTTAGAACGTTTGGCCACCAGTCTTCTCCTGACTTCCTGATACTGAAAGCTACCACCACGAGGGCTGTTGCATCGGTTTGTTTGAAAAACAATCTTTGCTCCGTCGACCCCAAGGGGAAAAGCAAGGGCTTCTTCCACTGGGCAGCCACTTTGAGGCGGGGGAAGGCGGGGCGGGGGGTTACACCCGTTGTCTAAAGAAAGCAAAGCCCGTGGAGCAGCGGGAGCGGCTCCGCCGGGGTTAAGCGGCGATTTTCCTCCCACAGGGGTGAGCCGGTCGCGCAGCGCGGCAAAGCCGCGGCATTCAGGCTGAAGGAGAAGAGAAAGGTAAACCCCGGCGCGGCCGCGGCCCACGTGCCGCCCGCGAGAGGCCCGGGAGGGGAGGGAGCCGTACCTCCAAACATGTGCGGCGAGAGATGAGCTGGTAAGGAGCCGATCACCAGACGCGGCCCGCCGGGGCCCCCGCTCGCCGGCCGGTCTCTGCCGCCGCCGCCGCCGTCCTCGGGGCTACTGTGTACCGAGTCCTGCGAGCCGTACGGGCCGCTGCTGCTGTTGGGGATGCTGAAGGAGGACTGCGCCGCTCGGGCCGCCGACGCCACGCTCCCCACGGCCCCGCCGAGGGAGCGACTGCGCGGGGCCGCTGAGGCCGCCGCGGCACCGCCCGAACCGCTGGGCTGGTGCGCGCCGGGCACCTGAGCCGGAAACCTCCCGGCAGCCGCGGCCCGCGCCCCGCTGCTGCTGCCGCCGCCGCCGCCGCCGCCAACGGTCCCATTGGTGCCTCCGCTGCTGCTGGAAGGTAGATCCGAGCCCGAATAGGCGCGGGTGCGGCCGTTAGCAGCGGCCGGGCCGCTCTGCTTGGCGCCCATGGCCGCCCTGCCCCGGGCCGGGGCCGCGCGCGGCGCCCCGAGCGCCGGGAGGGCGGGAGCGAGCGCAGGAGCGAGCGGGCAGGGCCAAGGCGCCGCGGCCGGCGCAAGAAGAAGCCCGCACGTCCAGGGCCGCCGCCCCGCGCCCCGAAGGGCGGTCAGCGCCCGGGGCGCTCTTTGTGTTCGGGGGCGGCGGGCGAGACCGGCGGCCTGCGGGAGGTCTCGGGAAACGAGGAGAGGCAGAGAGGAAGGAGGTCGGGCTGCGGCGGACGCAGCTCGCTAGCTCTGGCGGGAGGGGCGGCTCAGGTGGCTGTGCGGCTGCCGCTGGTTTCGGTTCTGGTGCGCCGCGACGGGTCCCTGCCGCTCTCTGCTGCCGTCGCCGCTCTCTGCGCCCCGGGCCTCGGTACCGCCTCCTCCCGGGCGGCCGCAGCTACCGCCGCCATCCTCCGGCTCTCACGGCAGCTCGCGGGTGAGTGGGAGGCGCCCGCCCAGACTCCGCCGGGGCCACCTTCCCTCCTCCCCCAGCCACCCAGCTGTTATTAACCGAGAAAGAGGAAAAACGGGTGGCGCGTGAGGGGAGGATGGAAGAGGAGAGGGAGGGGCGGCGCGCGCTTCCCGGCAACCGTCGCCGCACTCCCCCCTCCGAAGGGGGGAGGTTCTGGGCCACGAAGGTGGGGGTGCCCAGTGGGGGAGGAGGCTCCCCGGCCCTCGCACCGGAAGGCCGAGGAGCAGCGCGACTCCAAAGTGCACCCGGACTCGGGTGTTTGGGTCGCAGGCGGTGGCCCCACCCCCGCCCCCTCGCACCGCCCCGCGGATTGGCTTCCGCCGGCTGGGCCCCGCCTCTCCCGGCCGCGGCCTTCCCGCCCCGGCCCCGCCTCGCCAAGGTACAGCGGTGTGGTAGGTGCCGCCACCCGTGGACCCGGTGATGGACAGGTCCTCGGCCCCGCCCCCTCCCCCAGGGCGCGCCCCCTCCTTCACGGCGGCCCTAAGCCGATTGGAGGGACGGAGCCCCTCGGGGCGCCAACCAAAAGGCGGCCCCTCCTCTCGCACGTGGCCTCGGGACCCTGGGTTAGACCGTGTCTCCAAACTTCTCGTTTTCCCTGCTGGGGCTGAGAATGGCTGTGTCCTGGGTCCTGGCCCTCCAGTTGGGTGGGTGTTAACCTGCTGGTTGGTGTTACTCGGGGTGTGTTTTTTAAATAAAACAGAAGCTCAGCAATCTTGATGATAAAAGACTTACGAAACGCGGAAACATAAATAACAAAGAATGCAGACGTCAACTCGATCTTAAACTTACCCGGTAAAACTGACCGTGGAGGAAGCGCAGTTGGAAGAACTAAAGATAATGCAGCCTGACCTTCAGTTGTAAGGCAAAAAGCGTGGGGGCAGAGAAATCTGCACCTGATTTAGGAGATCTGGGGTCTCGGTCTGGGATGGATCAGAACTAAATCACGATGCAATGTGCAAACTTTACCTTTCTGGATTTTAATTTCCTGACCTAGGGCACCGACAGCTTTCAAATCCTGTAATTTCTCTAGGGGCACCTGGCTGGCTCAGTTGAGCCTGAGACTCGATCTCTGGGTTGGTGAGTTCAAGCCCCACTTGGGTGTAGAGATTACTTAAATAAATAATAAAAATAATAAAATCCTGTAATTTCTCTAAAATTGAATGTAGCAAAATTCTCCTCGGTTCGTTTCTAAGTGTGATACAGTATCTTGGTGTCAGAGCATGGTCTGGATATACATTGTGAAAGTTCCTGAAGTGTCCGCTATGTGAAAATAATAGCAACTGGTATTTTTGTACGAACTCCAAAAATAAATATCATCTTTTTTCCACATTTGTAATGTCATTTATGTAATGATTTTCATCATTCAAGTATGAGAATTAAATTTTCAAACAAAAGTAAAGAATATATGTATAGATATAGATGTATTGTGTGTATATATAAAACATCTCAGAATGTATATGTATGCATATGTTTATCAGTGGATTAGTGTGTGCATATATATACATATATATATATATATATAAATGGAAAAACAAATCTACTCAATGCAAATCTAAAAATTCTTTCATCCTGTGTATGGGCTTACTGAAACCATTGGTCACTTGATAAGCAGAGAAAAATTTAAAAGGTTAAAGTGGTAACCAGAATGACAAGTTCTCATTCAGGAAGGTATTTAGTGATTTGATCTGATTTAACTTTTATTGAATGAGGCCTTCGGTGTAAAACTCTGGTTCGGCAGGAATATAGAAAAGTAACACACTATTATTTTAAAAAAAGGAATAACGGACTTTTGCAAGTCTCTGATTAGCTAACAATTGGTAAGTTAAAGGATTTCACAGTCCTCATTAGATACGAATTTTAAAAGTCTAGGTTACTATAATATGGAGCAAATGCCATTCAGTAGTTAAAGCTATTAAATGAAAAGATTAATGATAAAAACTGTATGGCTCTTAGTCATCTTCAGATTTAATTATATTTTGCTTCATCACATCCAAACTTAGTTCTATTTTTAAATCATTTTTACTCGGATGGTAATTACACCTTAAAGCACTCAACATTTATTCCTAACTAGGAAAAAGAAATCCCCTGATAGCACCAGGCTTCTAACATTCACATCATCCACAACAGCTGGAATTTTACGTATGTCTGAACAATTGTTTGATTTATGTCCCTTCCTCACCAGACTAAATTCCCTGAGAGCATGGAAGGCGTGTGTCTTGTTTTAGTTTTAGTTTTTGTTTTTGTTTTTTGCTCACCATTGGCAGTGCTTGGCACACAGTAGCCTCTAGGTTAAGTATTTGTTGAATAAATGAGTGGCCAGAAAGTCATTTACAGGCTGAATGTTGGACATAGGAGAATAGAAATTGAAGCTGATTATGAAGCTCATAAAATATGTGTTTTGTGTTACTTGGTGCCAGGCGAAGCATTAGTCAAGACAAGCTAAGCTACACAGTGGAATCCAACTGCTAAACTTGAGGGCCATGATGCTGGGAAAGCCTGTTGTGAGCTCACCTGGTCTGCTCTCTCATCTCCCTTCAGACGGTTCCCCATCTGGGTGGCAATCTTGGGTTTCTCTTCAAGTGGTGGCTCAGGGATCCAGGCTCTTATGCAGTGGCTAAGCAGGCTCCCAGACTGCTCACAGAGCCCTTCTCTAAATCCAGTGTACCTGGCTGGCCAAAGCAAAAGGGCAGACATTAAGAGAAGTTTCAGCCAAGTGTGGAAAGGTTTGCATCCCTTCTCCCCAGTATCCATGCTGGCAGAAATCGGTCACATGTTCTAACTCAACTGGAAAGGGGTCAGGAAATGCGGTCTTATGTGTGTACCCAGGGGGAAAAAAGGAAATATTTTGTCAAGCACATAGCAAGCATATCTTTGCTACACACAAGAACAGTTGCCTGTCAGATATCTAAGCTAGATATTAAATCTTAATGAAACGTTATACAATAAAAGTTAAGTTAGATGAAAAATTTCTAGTGATAGTTACTATTATTAAGCCATCAAAATGTGGTAAAGAAAAACAAATTTTTTGTGTGCATGCAGATCAGCTAAATTCTATCTACTTTAAATTGTGTTTCTAGAAATACCATCTAACAGAACTCTTAATTTAGCCATGTAGATCAGCAATCCTCAAAGAACAGGCTCCAGATTAACAGTATCTGCATTGCCTGGGATCTTGTCAGAAAGACAGATTATGGGGCGCCTGGATGGCCCAGTGGGTTAAGCCTCTGCCTTTAGCTCGGGTCCTGATCTCAGGGTCTTGGGATGGAGCCCTGCATTGGGCTCTCTGCTCGGCAGGGAGCCAACTTCCCCCTCTCTCTCTGCCTGCCTCTCTGCCTACTTGTGATCCCTCTCTCTGTCAAATAAAATCTTAAAAAAAAAAAAGAAAGAAAGATTATCAGACCCCCACCCCAGACCTACTGAATCAAAAAGTGCTTGAATAAGCCCCCTACAAGGTTCTGATGCCCACTAATGTTTGAAAAACACTGATCTAGATAATCACTGGTTAGATAAAAAAAGAATACCATATTAAGATGTGATCATCATTTTTGATTAAATGCCCTCTCCATATGGATGTCCCCTGTGACCCCACTCCGATCACACCATCACAGACTGACTTCAGCATTCCTACTAAGTGTTATATTAATGCTTCCTTCTCAGCATTGATCATGCTGTTGATCTTGCTTGTTTGTCACTAAACAGTGCAGTCCAAGAGAGGCTTCACATCCATCCTATACCCCGGCACCTAACACAGTGCCTGACACCTCTGATGGACAAGAAATGATCTGTGAATGAATAAATGAATGAATGAATGAATATTCTTACATGATTGTTTCTTGAAGGTCACACATGACCTTATCTTATACTTATCCTCCCTGACATCTCCTATGTGGCATATGCCCTCTCCCCCTTTTCTCTCTGGGTAGGCCTTTTTGATTCTTTCCCCATGAGGATTCTGGAGTTAGAAAACCTTGGCTTGTAATGTTCTTTCCTTGGCCCTCTTCCTTCCCCCAAACAGGAATCCACATTAAGCTGTCAATGTGTTTTATCATCAACCAAACAGATCTGGCTTCACATAAAATTTGTCTCTTCTTATTATACCCTACCAGTTCTTCAAAAATTCAAAGTGCTGTTTCATTTAAATCAGTACACATGGGTGTACATCCAAATCTAGAACTGAAACAAGTTTTATGAGCTCATAACCCATGCACCATGGGATGTACTCCACTTCCCCCTGTATTCCATTTCACTTTTGTAAAATGCTGGTCACTGCCTACTGAATTGATTTTACAACCCACTAATGGGTTGTAATCTGCAGTTTGACTAACGATGGTCTGAATCAGTGCTTTGACACTTCAGTGCACCAAAGAATCATCTGCAGATCTTGGTTTTTTTATTATTTTTATTAACATATAATGTATTATTAGCCCCGGGGTACAAGCTGTGAATCATCAGGTTTACATACTTCACAGCACTCACCATAGCACATACCCTCCCCAATGTCCATCACCCAACCACCCCGTCCCTACCCCTCCCA